GGAATTGATTGTGGCTTTCCAAGCCATCTACGGAATCCTCAGGTAGGTTGTTATCGTTCTCTCAACACGCGTGTCTTCTGTACGACTCTTTCTACCTCTCTCTCTGTCTCTCTGTCTCTCTCTCCCTGTCTCTCTGTCTCTCTGTCTCTCTCTGTCTCTCTCTCTCTCTCTCTCTCTCTCTCTCTCTCTCTCCCTCTCCTCCCCCCTCTCTCTACCGCCTCCTAAATGATTTAAACTGTGTCGCTGTGGTGGAGCGGGTGGTTCGTGGATGTCACTGGTAGATCCTACTTCTTTACTTTCTTACTGTTATTACGGTCTTTGTCTGTCTTATTTTTTCCCCAGACTAATTGTGCAGATAAAGCTCCTTTTTACTCAAACTCAAATTCCAATTTTGGTACGTGTCAGTGTGTGTATGTGTGTGTGTGTGGGGGGGTAAATATCTATTACTTAACCTAATCTTCACTTTTTCCCCCTCCACACCCTCCCCCAACCGGTCTTCTAGGTCAAATGGTCAGGGAACTGAAACGCTGTCACGCGGAAATGTCAATCAGTGTCACATGGTAATAGCTGTTAGACGGGTGCCACATGTTGCAAGTCACTGAGAAAGTCACGTTTACTGTCGATAAAAAAAGGAAATAGAAAAAGCACACACCACAAAAATGAACAATGGTGTGTTATCATTTGAATCTGTTAAGGTGTTATATTGGTTCTTTTAACATCTCCCTGAAAAAGAAATCTCAGTGGGTGGTTGTCGGGTGCTCTGGTATGGTTTGCTTCTTCTTTCCTATCAAACGTCTCTTGTCTTTATCTCCCCTCCTCCTTTTTTGTGCTTGTTACTCTCTTGTAACACCTATAATCTTCGGCTCTTGTATGGCCTTATTATGTTGCAAATGCCGTAAAACACTTACTAAAACAAAGAAATATCTCCCGCAGGATCAAGCAAGTTGTTTTCGTTTGTATGCACAGGTCTGGGTTTTTTTTTGGGGGGGGGGGGGTATATTTCACCCACTTCTTTTTTATGTGAGTCAATCTACCGGCGTCTGTGATTGAGAAGTTGAGGGCTTCACTGTCGCACGCAAGAGACCCAAGTTAGATTTACAAGTGGGGAGAACAAGACAATACCCGATCTGGATCAAATGTGATATGGACCAAACTCAAAGAAGTCGCCACATATCTGACTCCGGAGGAAGCCAGGGACAGAAAGAAAGAAAAGAGCATTTTATTCGAATACCTGGGTCTTTCTGCTGAGATGTATCCTTCTCAGCCCGGGATGGCCGTAGCACACCTGATCGAAACAGCCCACCTCCTAAATGATCTAAATAGCGTCGATGGGGACGTAAAACGTCTTCAATTATTTTTGTTTTCGAATTTCCTGCTTGCCATTTAAAAACTTTTGTTGTTTCCATTCACTCCACTCACTTAGCTCAGTTCTTATTTTAGTTTTAGCACGAGTTTTACGGCTCTTGCAACACATTAAGGTCAAAGAAGTACCCAAGATTGGAGGTGTTACAAAAGAGTAACAAACACAAATAAGGAGGAGAGATAGGAACGATACATATTTTATCGGAAAAAGAGTCAAACCACACCAGAGCACCGCCAACCACTCGCAGGCTCAGTTCTACAGGATTCGAACGTCAATTCTAGAGGTCTCACCTTTCAGTCAACCTTGCGGTATTTTGACAAAAGGTCTGAAGGCTCCACTTATTAACCCATTTTCTGTCGTTCGTGGCGACTCCACAGCCTCCAGTACCTGGGTGTCCCCATGTACCTGGTCTCTGTCCATGGTGTGGTCTGCGGCGTCAGCAGCCTGTTTATCATCCCTCTGATTGGTCGCTTCACTGACTGTGGGAACAACACCAGGGTTAGTAGGCGGTGTCTTTTGCTTTGTATGCCAATGTTTTTTTAAATGGTAATTATAAAGGAGGCTGTACTTCATTTAGGTAAACTCATCACATGCACACGTGGATTGATTAATACATGCACATACACACACACACACACA